CCAGAATTTTCCCAGTTCGAGACTGAGAAACTCTTTCACTAGTTATACAGGAGAAACAGATGGCACACCGTGTACCCAAATCTATGAATTTACAGTGGATTTTTATTGTTACGCCACAATACCGGAGTGACTTGACTCTAAATTATAAAGCCTAATTTGCTAGTAATTAGTGTTTTTGTTCAAGTGATTTTTAAAAAGCAATTTCGTTAAAGGAATTAATTTTTAAATACAAAGAATCATAGAACTCTGGTCATGATAATAAATCTTTGCCATCAAGTATGATTCCTTATTGAACCAACAGGGAGACTGAGGATCAGAGGTGAAACCAATTGGGCCAAAGTCGCTAATCCTAGTGAAGCGCGCAGGCCCTGTGAGCCAGGGAGCTCTTTTCCCTCCACCACAAGTTTCAGCACTCATCATGTTTGTGTAGCCACTGCTTTTTGAAATGACTTTGCTCACATTTGTCAGTCATTGCAAGCTAAAATATTTTAACGATCATTATACATTATTTCATAATCTAATCGCTTAACTAGATATTCTCTTTCTTTCATTTCTTTCTCTTTAAAGAAATAAGCACTTGGCCTGGCCCCAGGGCCATGATTTCTCCTTTACATACAGTTGTCCCACCCCTAGGAATTAAACTGTAAGCTTGGACGGCACTGATGAATGGGAAGGAATAAGAAAATGCTACTCAGTTTTCTGTGACCAGCTACCAAAAACAGACTGAAAATAGGAGAACGCAAGTCTAGAGGAAAAAATTGAGAAGGATACAGATTACAGTCTAAAAATCAGAAAGTCAAGTACGGTGATGAAACACAATGTTCATCAAGCCTTGGGTAAAAAGAAGGGAGAGTAGCCTGAAGCGTGGAAAAAGTGGGTTTTAGGATAAATAAAAGGAAGGACCGTTCACATTTATGAAATCCATTGTCACCTGGTGATGGAGACTAAAAAGACAGATGACTTCAGAAGAAGCAGATTAATTCTTCAGTCATGTAATAGATTTTAAGGGAAGCCAAGTGTGCCCTCAAGTAGCATCCCTAACCTTTGAGGTTGACCACAAACCGGAGAACCAAGCTCTCTCACAAAACCTCAAGGCCATCTTCACATAGAATATATTAGTCTGCAGGACAGTGGGTCAGACTCATTTGGCAAGTCTTAAATTCCTATTGGAAAGCAAGAACTGCCTCAATGGACTACACATCAGAGAACCTAGCAATCTGCTAAACCATTTCCAGACAAACAGAGGAAAAGGTGCAGAAAGATACCCCTAGCTCAAAAAACCTCACCAATCCAACACAAAAATGAAGACTCCTTTACGAGTTCAAGCGCTCCCCATGGAACATGAACTCTCTTTGTCTTCCCATCACCTAAGTCAGTGCCTAGCATCTAGTGGGTTTAATAATTATGGAGTTAACAAGTTCTGCTCCAAAACTACAAATATCTCCAAGAGGGTGTTAAACTAATTATAATCAGTCATTCACATCTCTGTAGAATTAACAAATACGGGGTGAACAACTAATACAGGATTAACAAATCTCAGAAATTATCAAAGCATTTAAGTTGGGATGGTCAGGAATAGAGAACAGACCAGTAACACCCCCTTAGCTCCTCAAAAATTAACCACCAACATCATCATACCTAGAGAGATTAAGATATAGTTAAAGGCCAAAGTCTAAAACATACGTGCAAATTTAACAGCATGCATAGAAAATAATTAGTTAAGATGAATTAAATGCCATTCATGTGATGCCAAGGAAAACATTTATTCTAGGGTATTCTAATCTAATTGCTATCAAAATAAAATGAATTTTCAGTAAGCACCTACCTTTGTTCTCCCATATACACACCCAAAACTCATCCTTTTTATGGGCCTAAACACAATGTAGGAACTCATTAAGTATTCACCAAGCTAATTAATGTATATTAGACATGAAACCAAATTATCTTTGAGGAATATGACAATGCCCATTTTAACAGTATGAATTTTATTTAAATTACCAATTATTTAGCACCAATGAGCTCATCTAACATTTTTTTTCTTCTCTTCATTCTCAGAGAAGCTGGCACTGGAATTAACACTTTGCTCGAGAAATCATGAAATCACTTGAATCTTTCTTCAGCAAAACCTGGAACAAACTCATGATCGGAGGAAAATCTACTGATAGCCTCCAACACACAAAGAAGCACAGTCCACGGCCAGTTGTCCAAAGCTGTTCTGTGCCATCAGATCTGACCTCTGTGTGTAAATGCCACCTTACTATGGGAGTCGGGGTATAGCGGGTAGAGACAGGGCAAAAAGTAGGGGGTGGGAAGTGACACAGTTTCAGCAGGGGAGGCCAATGTTCCAACAGCCAGCAAATAGTTGATAATTGTGACTTCTATGACATAACACTCTCACAAGATAAGGATTCCAGTAACCATTGTTTCTTGTAAGAACAATGGCTTCCAGTTAACACATGGCGCAGTTTGTGAAATGATGCAGAGCACTGACCTGTATATAACACACACACACATGGAATTAAAGGATTATTAGGATACCGGATGTCCAAACACTGCCAAACTGTGAACCCACAGAGATAATAAAAGTGTGAGCAACAGCAGTATTAGAAATGGAAAGGATTACAGCAACTTTACTCCACACAATCTCACGTACCAAAAGCTAGGCCAAAAGACCAGGCAACACTGGGTGGCCTATACTGTGAGTTCCATTTCTTTTTGTTTGTAAAGGACCTGAGAGTAGGACATCCTAAAGAACCACAGCCATTCCCATCTCTAGGCATACCAAGACATCAAAAATTCGACGGTTCAAGATTAAGGAAAGATCAAAGCAATAAATCAATATACATTTTAAATGAAAAATAGATAACTATGCATATATTCTATAGTCCATTAATACAACATGGGCATTAAGGAGGAAAAGAAGAATGAGAGAAATAAATTAACTCCTAATAAGCAATCTCATAAATCCCAAGACCTCAGATTGACAGAGCCAAACACAAAGTCATAAAGCACATGTCCTTGCACCGACAGTTCTGCCTAAATTACAGCACCTCCAAATGACACTGCTGTGCTTCCTGGTCCCAGGGAAACAGAAGAAAGAGCCTAGAAAAACAGTCTCCCTGCTGACCTCCACTTGGGCCCTTACACAGCTACCATCACTGGCAGCGGAGTGCTGATAAAAAGCCAGCAGAGGGAAAACATAGAGGCTTTGGGCAACTGCAGGCTTGGTAAAGACCAGAGACCACAGCATGGGCCCAGAAAGCTGGTTCCAGAACTGTTAGACTCAAGTACACACAAGCTTTATACATATTCTGTACATATAAATATTCTCCTAGTGGCGAAATGCTGGCTGTGAGACCTCCAACAAAGCACCACAATCAAATACAACTATCATGGGGAAATTCTTCAGTGATATTTCCAAACACTACAAAAGTTTAAATCTATACTCCAAATCTTAAAAAAAAAAAAATTAATGTATTCTTAGTATAGCCACAGAATTCGAGGTCTCCTAAAGGGATCTCAGAGATCTTCCAATTCAACTCTCTTTTAAATAGGGCAGAGCTGTTAGGTAATTTGATTAGAGTTAAAAAAGCAAGCTAGTGGCAGAAGCAGGACCCAACTCTCCCCACAGTTTGTTCAGTGCCTTTTCCACTCAGGGAAAGTGACCTTGAAAACTGGTCAGATGACAAAGGCATGATTTTATTGGTCACCACGATAGCAAGCAACAGAAGTGTGCAATCATAATATCAGTAAGAACAAAGCACAGCAGAGATTTTGAAGAGGGTAAAAGCCTTAAATTTATGCAAATTTTTGGGGGGGGGAATTAACATTAACTTGAGGAAGCCCTTACTTTCATCTGAGTTTTAGAAGGCAGTCTGTTATTTCATTCCCCGTGAAATCTACGCCCTGTGTAGCCTAATTTAAAATGTAAGGCCAAACAGATCTGGAAAAGTACAGCTTTACCCTTGTACTTAATTTATACTATAGCGTACTGTAATTAAGCCTGAAATAAAAGCTATATTCTGAGTAAAGACAAAAAGCCCTTGTTAATGGCATTCCATTGCCAATGTAGAACGTAACAAAGCCTTCTTCATCTGGAGCCAACTGTCATTATACTTTGTAGCTTGTATGGAGCTATTGGACTAATATTTGCACTGGGATTAGAGTTGGGATAACCAATCAGTTAACTCCTCCACTGCAGTTTTCTATTATCCTCAAATAAATGGCCAAAAGGAAAAAAAGAAAATTGGCAAGCAGAACGACAACTATATTTATGAGATTAAACTCTGAAACCCTTCACAGTTTGCTGGGCAACTAATAACCATTTGCCAAGCAGTTTATTTAATAATGAGTCAGTTAAGCCAAAAGCAAATGTTCCTTCAACCGTCCAACGCTACCTCAGTCATATCCACACTGACAAGCTCCAATTATTTCTGCAATGTACTTCATTTAGAATAAGAGGCACAAGTTGCCATGAACGAAAAACTATTCTTATTAGCCAAATACAAGTTACCCTGAAATATTTTGAATAACTGAAATTTGTAGGTGATTTTGCAATTTATGAAAACCAAAATGACCAACAAATTGTTTGGGGAATAATTCCTCTCTGTGTCATGATTCTAGACTGAGGGCCGGAAGCTCGCCATCCAACGCTGCGCTCAGTGTCACAGGATCTTAGGTCATTTGAGTCTGTTCCCTTGTTTTATAAAATAGAGTTTCAACACTGCGACCATGCCCATCGGGGGCTTATGAGGACCGAACAAAATAGTGTTTGTCGAAACAAAGTGAGCTGGATTCTATACAACACAATTAGAAGCTACAGTATAATCAATCAGGGGAGGAAAAAGCCGTGTGGGCTGCTTTCCAAGAAATTCGTGCATCAAAATAGGAGATAACACCAAGTTGCCTTTGCTCTCTCCTCTCCCCGCCTCTCCCACCCATTTCCACACACGCTTAAGTTAAGAAAAGCAACCAGCTGGTATCCCCTTCGCTTTACTTACTAATAGTTCATCCATACTGGTCTGGCATTTTTCCAAGTTGATCCGCTTTATTGCTACACGTTCTTGCCTGGGTTTGCAGAGAGCAGCCTGAACCACAGCAGTAGCTCCACTGCCTGAAACGAAATAAAAACAACATTAGCACTCAAATGGTGAAGTCTGGTTGCTATTTGCGACCCCCTTCATAAATAAATATCCACTTTTTTTTAAAGTCTTCTATTCAAGGTATTCAAAACATTACCATTTGACATCTTTTTAAAGAGTTTAAGTCCGAAAATAATTATCTGGAGGAGAAAAAGGAAAAACTGGTCTTTTCTAGAAGATACAAAGACAGAATCTGCACTCCAGAGGCTTACAGTCCAGGAAGGTGGCCCACGTCAAAAGAGCCTGTTGGAATTCAGTGTGTTTACTACCAACCAGAACAAGGCTGAAAAAGTGACTGGTCTGAGGTCACAGGGGCAAGGGACACGGGCTTCTAAGCACAGCCCTGCATGGAAGCCATTAGCCTCCTCAGATCCTGATATTTTCTAACTTCAGTGCCTTTAAAACATCTCAAGCTCTTCTTCCACTTCAGCCCAAACCAAACCACTTCAGCCTGAGCCACTTCAGGGCCTCCACACGATGCTGCGACAACTTATCTGCTCTGAGCACTCTCTGAGCTTATTTCTTCAGAGTTGGCTCTACAATTAGAAGGACAGGAATCAAGCCGAGTATTCTCATGTTGAAAGCACGACTTTCAAGGATGCCAAGCGAAATGATGCAAATGTGTAATTACAAAAGCTCTCAGCGTTCATATGAATTTCCTATTTCTAAGGTTTCATGATCATTAGCTAATGCACTCAAACTCCTAGGAGACAGTCATGTCATTATCCATATTTTATAAGAGCAAAATGTAGACACGGAATGATTTGTGGTAGAGCACAAAGAGCTCCTAATCGTATTTATATTCCATAGGGGCAAAAAGACCTCTAGGTTAAGGCATCTCAATTCTGCAAAGAATACCAAAAATCTCATTCTAATCACATAAATCCTCTACCACTGAAAGACTGCCAATGAGAGAAACAGCCTGTGCTCGGGACTGTGCAAAAGGGGGCCAGATGTGATAGTGACCTTTCTCCTTAAAGTTTTCTTTGGGTACTACTTCCCAAATGAGTCACCAAATATCGTTGGGGGTGGGGGAGGGGCATCTTTTGGCAATAAAGAAGAGAGAACAGTATTAGCTTTCCTTATATATGTCATAGAAAGACATGACATTTCTACTGCAAATCAAGGCTGACCCACCCCAAGGAAGTACCCAAATGGGTGTCTTTCAAGCTAAAGTTCTGTTCTTTCTTCTTCCCTGTGGCCTCATCATCAGCCTAGCCCCCTGACCTGGTGACCCGAGCAGATCACCCTAATGCTCCAAACACAGGTCTCCAACTCAAGTTCCAGGGAAGTCCCACTGTGTTCACTGAGGAAGAATATCCACATACTGACCACCCACTGAATTGTAGGCACTTTACTCATATAATTCGCATTATAAGCCTGTTTCTTTTTTTTATTATTGGCCTCGACTTATATGTGAGAAAACTGTGACTCGGAAAACTTGCCCACACAGCCAAGTACCTGAGCTGAGATCCGAGTCAGGTCTGCCAGACTCTAAGGTCTGTGCTTTTTTCTATTTCTCACAAGCCAGAGCACACTCGTCCCTTCCTCACTCGTTTTGGTCTTGCTACGAAAATACTTTCTTCTGTCCTATGTGGTTAAAGAAAGAAGAAACAACCTACAGGGAAGGTTCAAGTGAGCCTCACTCTAGAGTTCAGTTCAAGGAGAGGGTTTTGTCAGAGGTTGTTTAAAAGGGCCTTCCTCTCCCTAATCTCACTGCTTGCTCCGTCAGCTGCTACTCTAAATCCCATGGGTTGGCCTCCCTGCCCCTGCAGATCACAGCATATTGGGTTCAATCCAGAATGCTCCAGATACCAGAGCCAAACACTACAAAGAGCCCCGCTGATAGCAAAGTGTATTTTCCAGTCAAGGTCTCCAGAACAAGAGACTACCACTGAAGGGAGGTGCAGAGAAAAGTGATAAGTAGCTAGTTAGCACTGGGCCTGGCACCCAACAGAGAAATCAACAAACATCATTAGCTACCTGCCGATGGGAAGTCACTCTCAGCCCCATGTGCTGTAAATCTCCCTCCAATCCCAACCCCCCCCCCCCCAGCCTTAATCCACATCCCAGAACATTCTCAAATCAGGGGAACTGAAACAGGAAAGATGAAAACAAATTCTCAGGAAGGATAAGACAAGCGCATGTAACATGGGGCTCCCTCTCATAGTCAGATAAGTCCCTGACTATAAAAATCTCCTGACTTCCACAGACACATGAAAGAATATGGACACAAATGAGAATTCTGAAAAGGGGGAGAGAATGGTGGGGAAAGTGTTTTATTAGAGCTATACAACCAGAGAATTGTTATTGCTTTACAACTACAGCTGACTAAAGAACAACTGGCAGCTTCTCATCTCTAGAGAGAATAAATTTGAAGCTTCTTGACATGAGATTATTGTCAGAGCATGAATGAAGTTAACCACTCACTGGACAGTTTGGGAAACTCCACTTCGAATCCAAAGATTTCCTTCAACTATAACAAAGATCAAGAACAACATTAAAGTTACAGGGAGGCTTAAAGACCATCCAGTTCAACCCCTGCTTTCTGGATGAGGAAGGGCAGGGAAGAGAGCTCTCACCAGAAACCAAATTGGCCAGCACCTTGATCTGGACTTCCCAGCCTCCAAAACTTTGAGAAACAAATCTCTGTGGTTTAAGGCACCACTCTATGGTATTTTGTTATGGCGGCCTGAGCTGACTAAGACAAAAGGCTTTCATTGTCTGTTCTAAGTCATTCTCCCACTGTTACCTATGGTCAATTATGCCATACAAATTAAAAGTTCTCAAAAACTTCCTAATTAATTCAACAGCAACAAGAGTCAACATTCAACTGAAGGGCCTCTGCTAGGCCACTGTAGTTCCCAAGTGTTAGGTTAGTAAGACACTTGAAAAGGAGGTGAGACAGGGATTCTATCCAACCCTGCAACTGAGTCCCTCTGTGACACTGGGCCTAATTTCTCTCTAAACTTCCATTTCCTTAACGGGCATAATAAAATCTACCGGGAAGGCTTAATAACATAACATACTTCACATGCTTGAAAAACATCAACTTAAGAAATGTTAGGCTTTCTCTCTGGGACTCATTTCTCCACCTGTAACATGAAGGAGGTAGACGATATCTGTAGTTTATGTAGCACCAAAAGGAGAAGAGAGAGGGCAAAGTAGCTCCAGGTCAGGGTTGTTTTATTTTGCTTACCAGGAAGATCCAGTTGGTTTATAAGGGGGAAGAGGATGGCTAAGTGGAAAACCAGAAGACTAAATGATTTTTAAGGTCTGATACAGCCTGATAAGTCTAAAATATAAGATTAACCCAGAGAATTCAGGAACAGCTATGAACTATATTCTATAGCTAAACTTCTCATTGATAATGTACTTTGATATCCAACCTAAAGAAATGATTTTAAAAGATCTTTGTCCATCCAGATTGTATGAGTTCATATCCCAGCCCTGCCACACACTAACTGCTTGTCCTTGGAGAACTTCCATGACTTCTCCATGCCTCAATTTCTTCATTTGTAAGATGGAGATCATACCACTGAGCTCAAACGGTGGCTGTGAGGATCAAATGAGCTAATACATGGAAAGCCCTTGGAACCGTGCCTAGCATATAGGAAGCACTAATTAAATCTTAGCTAGTATTACTCCTCAGGGAAATCCCTCTAGGTCAACTGGTGTCCTGCCAATTTGTCATTTTAGTGCTACGTAATATTTCATGATGTTAATGTACCATTATTTATTCAGCCCATCCTCTACAGATGAGTATTCTCTTTATTTCCAGTTTTCCCCCAAGACAAATAAGGAGCAACAAACATCTGGTACTTTTAAAAAATACATACTAATCCATAAGAACTTTTCTTTATGTTAAAATTAGGATTTGGTCAATCACCCAGTAATTCCTTCCCATAAATGTCAGAATTTTAAAAAGGTATTACGTTAGCCTCTGACGTGAATGGTGGCCAGCGGAAGGAAATTCTGTCATCACATCCTACTTAAATGAGCACCAAGCCAAAATTTTAACAAGAGTTTGCCCATCTCTTAGCATATAAAAGGGCTCCTTAATTATGCTTACCTATCCTTTCTCAGTGAACAGAGTCCAGAGTTGTATCAGGAGCTCTTTTGAGATGCGCTGACTGATGGTGTGTAATAAAGAAACAAATGGCTTTGGTCCAGCTGATGATTTCCTCCAGTTCTCTTTACCCAATGTACTCTGTTGTGCTCTACGTACATCGTGTGTCCAACCTCAAAGCTCGTAAGGCCAATCAGGTCACGTGAGGACCGGAAGCTGGCCAGGGTATGAATGGACACACACGTGAGCTCTGCAGGGGCACAGCTGCCACCCGCCTCTGTCCACTGTCACCCTGTGAGATCACTGACCTAGTATGGCAAGACTGTGATTTCTGCAGAAAAACTGAAAATTCAGAATTTGGTGCAAGATCTCCTAATATCATAAGGTTGCAATTTTTTTAAATACAAAAGCATTGTGAGCCACATAAAAGCTTGTCGTAGGCCGTACTTTGGCTCCCTGCGTTACTACAATTTGGTGTACCCTTCCTTACCTGATGGTCCAAATTCAAAATTATTTATTAGATTACACATCTGAAGATGACTTTTCTCTACATCAAAAATGGTCACATTTCCTATGGTTCAATATAATATGAGAATGTACTCAGGACACTGGCCCAAATTGATTTACAACATGTCACCATGTTGCCATCCACCTCATCCTACTATTTGCACAGAGAAAGCTATCAGGGCCCTTCGCCTGTCATTTGGTGCATTCTAGGTGAAAGGAACAGGCGCACGGTAAACTTGCAAGTCAAACACAAAGAACAGAAACAATGAGACAGGTGTTACGTGCAATTTGCTATAGGGATTTCTTTACAAAACAGATGCTACCACTGGCCTGTCTGGATAAATGGTATACAGACGGTGTGTATACACCAGGCCGGGCACAGCACGGTCATGTTTC